AAAAAGGGTTTTAATTTTATTTATTTTAAAAATATCCTTACAATGGCATCTGTGGAAAATTGTTGCTTATATGTTTCCAGTAATAGCAATATTGGAAAGTGGATTTGATTCTTTCATTTGTGGTAGTGTCTGAATTTACCAAATGAAGAAAGTTTTTCATCACCCAAGTTTCAATTGGACAGAAACTTGGAATCATACAAGTTGTATTGTATGATGAATGAGAATTTTCATCTTTGAAAATTAAGACTAATTCTTTGATCACATGTATATGTGAGTCAATTGAAGGACTAAGGAATTAGGTACACTGGGTGTGCGCTGGTCAAGGTCCACCACAAAGATTGATTTGTCATGATTTACTAAAGATTAGTAAATATGATTATACTTATAAGGTTAAGTATAATTCTGTAACATTGGAAAGGTTACAATGTATGACAAAACAAATGAGAAGAATCAAATTAGGCAGAAAGATAAAAGTTTCTCAAATCTGAAAGGATGGGAGAGTACTTTAGTATCGTATTTCATGATCATCTTAATGATTATGAAACCATATCACAAATTCATACTCTAAGGACGTCTTAGTGCATTGTTATGGCTAAGAAGAGAGGTCATGAATTGTTGGATTGGTTAAAATCAAGAAGATGAGTCATACTTCGTTCCAAAACAATTCTTAGAGTCATACTCCAAGATTGTAACCTTGAGTGACATAAAGGAAGATTTATTAACACTAGTCAAATGTAAGAGTAAAATGTTTTCTACTCTTGTACATTTGAGATTGGTAAGTTGTGATGTCTTGGATGAGACAAAGACCAACTAAGACCAATTGTGTGAAGTGTTAGTCTTGATAAGAATCCGCACTATCCCTTGAATATTTGTTTTGTCAAGGAATGGTTCTTGACTGGGGAAACTTATATGTCAAGGGGACAGTGGGAGCCTTAAAGATCCTGAAAGAGTTTCAAGATTTAATCAAGAGTAAAACCTGTAATTTATCACTAGCACATGACTTAAGGTTTGCAACCTATCGTGTTGACATAATTCTTATTTCTGTACCTACTTCAAATAAGTTGAATTTGCATGTGAGTTATCAGAGTTCAACTTGGAAGCATTGGTGGGCCTTGTGCTACCAAGGTGACAAGAAACTAAGATTGAACAAGTTTAATCCATGTAAGGCTGAATTTTCACTAACCTTATCTTGTGATTATGGTTTTGACAAATTCACATGGATAGGAACTCATACACTATAAAATCTAAGTGTCATAAGGTTTCTCTCCGATTCATGAAAATGATGGTGAGGAAACGCTTTCACTAAGTAGATTTTACGTAGATATCAATTGTGTTATTTGCATTTTCAAAAGTCGTTAGTGGAGCGTGTGTGGTTAACCGGCACACTAACATGGACTTGTGAGAAATGGAAAAGGTCTAAGAAATTGAGACTATGATTACGGTATCCCTTTTCATAGTTCTGAAGATTGTTTAGACACACATGTGAGCTATCTAAGAACAGGTGTATGAATCTAAATTTTAGAAATCCAACCGATTTCTGAATACATGTCAAAGCTAGTGGGAGCATAAGTGTTATGCTAATAATCATCATGCTAGTGGGAGCATGATAATTGTGATTACTATTATTGCAAGCTAGCAATGTTAATTATAGAAAAACAAAAGTTTCAATTCATGAAGTTTCAGGGGTTGAAAAGTTGTTTTGCTATAATTAAGGGAGAGGAAATTATACTTCATTTCAATTCTAAAGCTTAGATTGACAGTTTAATCATCTTTAGTCAAGAATATATATATATATATATATATATATATATATATATATATATATATATATATATATATATATATATATATATATATATACTAGCCGTTTACCCGCGCTAAGCGTCGGGCGGCAAAAGGTTTCTTCCGGAAGAGGGTGTATCATATGATGTATTTTCGTATATTATTAATTATCAAAAGTCATACCAAAAATATTTTAAATCATAACATAAATAGTAAATGTCAAAAATCATACCAAAAATATTTTAAATCATACCATAAATAATAACTATCAAAAGTCATACCAAAAATACTTTAAATCATACCATAAAATACTAACCGTCAAAAATCATACCAAAATTAATCATATTATTATCATATTTTCATTAAAATAATATCATACTAAAAATAATATATATATATATATATATATATATATATATATATATATATATATACTCGGTTCCATTCCATTCTTCCGATTCCATCAAACCAAACAAAACAAAATGATTCTAAATGTAAAAAAATAACTCGATAATAAATGAAATAAAAAAAGATATTACCAGGACTTCAAAACTAAGTTTATTAAATAAATAAACAAGAAGGGTATAAATAGCAAAGGAGAAAAGTAAGCTACCCTTCTTTTTGGCCAAAGCCTGAACCAGGGACAGTAGAAATGCCAGTGGCTTCCAAGAGCTTGAGGCAATAGAAAACATCAAGAACTTTTCCAGCACTTTATGCAGCTTCAATTGCGTTTGGGGGTAGTTTTATTTGTGGGAATGAATACATGGGGCTTGATTTCAAATTTAAATAAATAAGAAAGCATTAATATCAAGAAATATGAGGTTAGAGAACAGTTTTATCGGAAAATGGCTAACCTTCTGTGAAATTACAAAAAACATTTTTGAAACTGTTGAATCCATCTGTCATTATGTGTGCTCTCTTCCATAGTGATTCAAGGATACCCTTGCTGCATTTGTTTACCAAGAGAATTGTCTAAAATAGCCCTCCATAACAACAATACTTTGCAAACAAGTAATTTTATCTTTAAACTACTCAAATCATCTAATTATTATACCCTTCAGTGATGACAAAATAAGTGAAATGTTTATAAATCAACAGTTTGTGAATGATGAAAATTTGAAAATGGACAATTAGGTCATTTTACCTATCTCTAAGAAACTGCTCATACGAGATATCACTTCTGAGTGTAAGTTCGTGAGCTGAAGTACTAACTTCCAACATCCAGGTAATAGTGTTATATCCATCTTTTATCTTACTTACGCCATCAACAACCTGTTTTATCAAAACATTCACTAAAGTGATAATGATAATATCTCTTAATATTATCTAGATTTGGGACGATTTTACATATATAATTAATATACACATATAAACCTGCAATACGAATTGAAGAACATTCACATTTGTCACCATCTTCTGTCTTTTTCTTCTTCCTCTTTGTATTCCATTGGCTTCAACATATCAGGTACTTTTTTTCTATATTTCTTTCTGTTTCATTTTCATCTGTTGCTCTGTGTATTAGAATGTGTATGGTTATAACTGAAAACAATTATCCTGCCACAGGGAAATACCAAGGGCAAGGGCAGTTTTTACTTTACAAGAATGTCCAGCAAACAAAGGGCCCTTCCACCCATCTTTATTTGGCGGGTCATATCAATTACAAGGCCACCAGCATTTGTTGCTGCTACTTGACCAATGAATCCTACCGCCAAAGGGATTGTTTTTCCAGTAGCCTACACAAGTACATCTGTTTTAGGCATAGTGTAACAAATGGAAATTTTGACTTTGTCCTACATTTCTGATTTTAAAACAAGACATGACTTAATAATTACAAATTCTTTAGATGTTAATAAAATTATTTTCTTTTGCAAATACAGAGTTTTTATAAGATATAAATACTACTTTACAATACTACATTTAAAAAAAAATAAGTTATCTTGATTTTCAGTTTTACTTAGTTGACCATGTATAATAAGGTTATAAGGTATAATCAAAATGTACACAAATCGAAATACTATCTGTATAAAATTGTTAATATATATATATATATATATATATATATATATATATATATATATATATATATATATATTAAATAGAGTTTTGATAAGATAATAAAAATAACTCTAATTTTACACAAAAATCAATGTAAATTTTTTGGGGGTTAGGAGTAGTAATTTACACAGATGACGGATTGTTGGAATTCATTTTCATGACTTTATGAAAGGAAAGTAGAATTCCTTTCTGGGTTATTTTTTAAGTTCCAACATAATTCAATTCCATTCTCAATTTGCATATTATTTACGGATAATTTAGATACTTGACAGACTATTAAGGGTAATTTAGTAATTTACCTTGAAGAGCAGCTTGTAAGCCTCTAATAAGAGATTTGAAGTTCGTCCAAATCCATTCAATTGTGATACTTTAAAATATAAGTTTTACCACTTTTACATATATGACCCCTGTGTTGTCTTATTTTTACTATGCCCAGTCCAAAATTGTAACTTTTCCATGAAACGTTGAAATAAAGAGCAAAAGTGAAAAAGGTTTTGAGTTCAGACTAAACATGGTAAAAGGAAGGAAGTACAGGGACCATTTTTTTTTAATTTTACTACATAAATTGCAAATAAGTAAGGATAACTCTTAAGATCTTTAAGCTTCCATATAGATCAGTTATACTAATATATGTTCTTATAAAACATATAAAATTAACAAGTGTAAATGACATAAATTATCTGGAAGATGATGACATATAGAAGAAGATTGAAAGGGATGATGCATATATACCTGCCAATCCAATATATCAAAAATAATGTTATCTGCATGCTCATAAGCTGACTAGAGTTGCTCTAATTCTTGGGGAGAAGATATTTCAGAAATTGTGGCAACCAATTTAGCCTTGTTGTCAAAAAGACTCTTGTCTTCAATGAAGATGGGATTTATCAATGATATTGTTGCGTGTAGCAACAATAAAATCAGGATGGATGAAAATCGTTTCTTGGATTTCACCACATTCATATGTTCATAACTTCTCACAGTATGTGATTTGTGGGAAATGTCAATGTAGGTGTGGAAAAGGAATGGGAAGATTTAGAACATGACATAAAGGGTTAGCAATCAGTAACTCATGGTGAATCCTATAAGAGCTTCTATAGAAATTAAGCTAAAATGGATAATGCGTTGCTAGCATATATGATCTAACCTACGCTGAAAGCTGTTTAGGGGCATCTGATTAAGCTTTTGAGAGGAAAATCCATATAAAAACAAATTGATCCATATTTCCCAACCATTGCAATCTTCACCTGCAGTTGCACACCAACACGAAAAGGGACAGGATATTAAGTAACTGAAATGCAGTAGTAAGTAGTAAAGGAGGAAAATGATACTAACAGAATTGGTGAGGTTGTCACAAGTTTCTGCCCTGTTAGTCCACTCTTGTAAATTTGGAGGTCTTGCTACACTGAAACAGAGAGAGAGAAAGAGAGAGAGAGAGAGAGAGAGAGAGAGAGAGAATAAATATTATCACATTCCTTCTACACATACTACTGACAATAAATATGTGCTCACCGCAGTAGTGCTAGCTGTTTCAGGATTGCCTCATGAGCATTTTGGTCATGGGAAAATTTAGAGATGATGAGAAATATATCTATCTCAATTATCAAAGGAATACAAACATCCACGCACCCGAAGTAAAAGAGGAACATGACAAATGTTTGGAACATCATGTATATTAAGAATGTGGCAGCCTGTTTGTTGACAAAATCAATCAATCAATCAGAAATGAACAACACAAAGCCAAGGACAGCCTATTAACCAGAAACTTACAGGTACATGACAAAATTGTGGGAGTTTCTGCTTTGTGTTTTCCAACAATGGCTGCAAGGTAAACCGATACTTTGATTGCTTAAGTCTTAACTCTTAACCACAACACACCCATTCATAAATCATACCTGAGCTGAACGACATGCTAAAAAGTGAGGGGTCAGGCCTAAAGCTCGCAGTTCCTGGACACTGTGATGTGTAGGCTTATTATTCTGAAGAAAAAAACAATCAGAGTGATTCAGTAGATAATTTAGAAAAACAAAAATGTATTTCTCCAAAAATAGAATAAGCTACTTGATAAATGTTAGTCAAGAAAATTCCAAAAAATAATTTAGAAAAAGAAAGAGCACATGGATTCAGTAGAAGCTCCAGAGACAAATTTCACCAGCTTCTTCATCGGAGGGATCAAACCAAGACTCGCTGTTCATACATCATTGTACCTTGGTGAATCAAAGACGTTGCACCATGGTGCAACCATCGACATCAAGTGGATCGTTTTCAAAAGACAATTTCTGGCTTTTCTCATTAGATGAAGTTATTGATTCAGATGGTGAAACCGGTGATAATGGTGATGAATAAGATGGAGATGGACCGGTACTGGTGGCAGCCGCCGCTAGATTTGCAGTTGGGCCCTTAACGCATAAAAGGGCTGCATCATAGGCTCTTGCTGCTGCTTCAGGAGTTGAGTAAGATCCTAACCATATTCTTGATTTCTGATTTGGTGCTCTTAACTCAGAAACCCATGAACCCCAACTCCTCATTCGCACTCCTTTGTATCTCCCTCTGGTAATCAATGGTGATGGTGATAGTAGAGAAGTAACATAAACCGACTCTTAATAGCTACAAGACTATAGGAGGGTGGTGGTAATGGAAGCCGAGGAGAACAATCGAAATCGCAGGCTCTAAGATAGAGAGACGAAGGTCGAAGAGAAGTCCTCAGTCGCAGCTAGAAGAGTTTGGAAGAAGCTTTTGGAAGAAACGATTGTTGGAAGAAATGATGGCTGATAGTGTCTAAAGGGTATTAGGGTTTTCCACGAGAAGCTTTGACCGTACGTTATGATGATACGTGCATGTATACGTATACGCTTAATAGATTGTACATGGTGTTATAAAATGTATACCTCTTAATTTTCAAGATATGGGCAATATGTTTAATAATATAGTTAATATATATATATATATATATATATATATATATATATATATATATATATATATATATATATATATATATATGAATTTTGTGTTGGAATGGTTCAACTTGAAGAAATTCTATATATATTGCGTTTTCAAAATTCGATTATGATTACGGCATCCCTCTTCATAGTTAAATTTTGAAAACATGGTAAATAAACAATATTGTAGCAAAAATTGGTCTACTATCATGTCTTTATGTCAAACATCATGAATCGTTTCCCATATGCTTCGGATATAGGATTGATTGCATGTGCTATAATATTCATCTTTTCTAAATTTTCCAAATATTTAAGGCATTGAGAAGGGAAAAGTCTAGAACTGGATATGACTAAAGTGATTAAGCAATTGTCGAGGACAAATCTGAGGTTCGCCAAAGATTGGTTGCTCGGGGAAAGTTGGAAGTATGATGTAAGTTGTCGGAAAGGACCGTATTGACATGTTCTGAAAAGAAGTAACTCTTGTTCGGAAGTGATAGTCAAAATCGGACTATAGAAATGTCTCCATAGGTGGAAGTTATTCAATCTATGTAGGATTAGTAAACCTTAATGCAAGAAGGATGTTCAAAGCAATGTACTTTGAATATGAGACTTCCGTTCCATAGAAGTTGACCTTCTTTGGAATACTCTGTAATGACTGGTGACAAGGTTTTGGTGACTTTGTGAATAATCATTACAAGAGGAACATTGCATAAAAGTTTAAAATCTAACATATTTTTTTGGTAAATGATAGGAATCAGACATTCTCACATTTACAATAAGGATTTGGGATTGTGAAATGAGTATCATTGGAATCATGTTTAATTGATCTACATCACAATGTAAGGATCCTAGACAAACATAGTGTGCATACTTGGAGTATGGCATAACTATTGTTTAGAAAAACAAAGTGTACATGCTAGGAGCATGGGACGACTGTTGTTTTTTATTCAAGTCTTAAGTTGATTGTTTGAAACATTATACAATGAATAATTTGTAATCAATATGGTGATAAATAAAAGGTGGTTCTATTTATATTCAAAAGGGTTTTGAGACCATATTAGATTCGATTATTATTGTGTTTCACTTTGCATGTTTTGACTTCCAAAATAGCTAGGTTATTCCTTCCGAATGACTAAGTTATTTAAACACTCCACGGTCGTTCATATGTTGGAAGTAGGTATGAATCAAGACTGTCATGAATCGAGTTTGTAGATGGCTAAATGGGTTTAGTCATAGCAATGGTTGCTACAACATTCATGAGTGCTCATAAGTTATGAGTATTGGACTAAATCCACGCTCACTTGTATCACTTCATGGAATTTATCTCGAATGATCGTGAGACGGTAATATCATATAAATCTTCAAACCTAGAGATATGAGTTGTTACCTATGAGTTGGTTGTGCATTTATTGCACGTAAACACATAAGTAACTTGATGTTATAAAATGTGCCTTTGTTTACAATTCAACAAGTAGTAGAACAAGCATATGATTCGAAGTTTATATGTTCCTTCTAGAAATAGAAGCGATATTTGGGCCCCTCGATGATTTTGTTGTGACCTATGTACCGGCCGGTCAGAACTAAATTGATGTGTTCGATTAAGTTCTTTGTCAAACAAATCGAAAATCGGGAAATAAACTGTTGGACAATATGTACGACGTTGTTCCATGTATTTGTCCGACTAATATCATGAGAACAGTGGATTACATGATCACTTATCTAAAATGGCGCTTCATAGTTCAACAGAGTTTTCGAGAGCTACGATTGCTGGTTGGTTCCTGAAGTAACATACGCAAATATAGTTATTAGACTTATCCAAGTGGGAGTCTGTTCGATAAGGTGTCTAAGTCCATAACTTATTTGGTACATACTTGACCCAACCCGACATGGTCAATTTGGGTTGAATTTCATCCAAACGATTTATGGATGATTTTATGAGAATTGTATACTTATGATTTATTAATATATTATAAGTTATAATATATTAATATGAAGTCATGTTATTTAATTAGTTTTAGTCTTAAATTAATTATGAATTAATTTAGAGATTAAAAAAGAAGACTGATTAAATTATGGGCTATTATATTTTATATAGTGTGGGCTAATACTCATTTGTTAATGGGCTAAGCTAATATGGAAGTCCATGGATGGTCGATGGAGCTTTTAACCCATGGATCCTTGGAAAGGAAAAGGCATGGGTTATTAGGGTTTCACCCTAACCATGCACACTATATAAAGAAGCATATGATGCAAGAAATGAGAATCTAGTTGTGTGAGGCTTAGTGGTAGCCGATTCCACAAGAAAGTATACTACCCTCTCAAAGTTTCCAAAAGTTTGTGGTGATTTGTGATTCCATTTGAGACATTCACACTATTGGTGCTTGGCTCTCAAACTCAAAACAATCAACCATCATCAAAAGGTATGTATTTCTACTAGTAGTTTTATGATTCATAAACCTTATGCTATGCTAGTTAGAAAGAAACCTTGGAAATTATTATTTGCATCTATTTTAGAAGAAAACATAGATCCAACGTTTATTAGGGTTGCATGCACACTTACGAAGTGTTAGATTGCTCAAAACCCAACAGTATTCAATATAATTGTTTGGTTGGATATATATATATATATATATATATATATATATATATATATATATTCAATATATATTTGTTGCAGTGAACATAATTCCAAAAATTTATGAAGTAAACAGTTTTTTTAAGCATCATATAATAGACTACAAGGTCTATGCTATACTATTCAAAAACTTGTACTATTGGCATTCAACCAGTGGCTAGGTGACCCTATCCCACTAGAGAATTCGAAGGCTACCTCGAACATCAAAAGATACATCCAAGCTACTACGTGATCTTATGCCACTAGATCCGTACTAATGATAAGTGAGTGTTTTTGACGAAATGAGTTGTGAATCTATTCCACAACTATGTTCCAAGAAGACTTGGTTTTCACAAACTCATTTTATTTATCACAACAAAAGGTTAATGATAGTCTCAGTAAGTTGTATTTCAATCTTCACTATGAAACAATTTGAGCTAATGAAAAGTTTCAGCAATAACAAATAAAAGTTGTTAGTGACATTGATTAAGTATCTATCACCAAATCTATTCATGGATTGAAAAATATTACATACATCACTTAAATATAACTCTTTGTCAAACCTTTTATTCATTAACTACTAATAGATAAAGACACTTGTGAATCATCTTCCCATATAAATAGTGTAACACCTAAATTTTTAAATAATTTTTCACATTTATAAAAATACATTTTCATTCATAACTGTCTTAAAAACATCATTGTATCACATAATCAATTCATAACATCACATCCCAAGATCAAAATGGGTAAAAGCTCCATGAGTGTGTACTGATCAAACCGACACCTTCCCGCGATCCTCACTGGTACCTGAAACACATAACATGACACAGTAAGCATAATTACTTAGTGAGTTTTCCCCAAAATACCACATGCAATAGATATTAGCCACTCGAGGCTATAACTCTGTTTGAACCTCTGGTTAATGTGTCTCAGTGGGACCTTCTGGTCCCATAACTCTGGTGTGCCCTCTGGCCCTAACTCTATGGGCCTTACAGTCCAAACTCTGTAAAATGCATAGCATAAAACACATAGAAATATCATCATGCAAAAACATATAAATACTCTATCAAATAACTCTAATTATCACTCTAGGTAAGGTATAGTGAGAAGACTCACCTCGAGTAACTCAGTAAATCTTAAACTCTAAAAAATACGATCTAGCCTCCGCATAATCATATGAAATAAATACTCCAATCAATACATCCCTCAAGGCTAGACTATTCCCTCCTTTAGTACTCTCAGAAGGGTAAAAGACCATTTTACCCCTCTTATGGCCCTAAGACCCAAAAATTGGCCAAACCTTAAAAGTCAACCAAAGTCAACTCTCAGGGTTACGTTGCACGTACCAAACATGTACGTTGGGCGTACCCGGTGTCTTCATAGAAAACGAGGTGTGCGACCCCTTACGCTGTGCGTACTGGGATTACGCCCCGTGTAACTCCCAATTTCAGACTCTAAGCTTTTTGGGGTCTTAATCAGTTAAGACTCACGTCCAACTTCTAGATCTGACCATCTATAACCCTCTTAATCCATAAAGTTGGTGACTTTAAGCCTTTTCATGGCTGGACAAGTCACTGACACCCATAATATTCCATTTCTAACCACTAGAAAGCTCAATACTTAAGCATGCCCTCATATCAACGACCAAGATGGAAACTTTATGGATCTATAACGCAAATACCACTGAAAAGGGACAGATCTAGGTCCATAGAGCACATTACACTTATAAAGTCTCCACCTTTGGGACTTTTAACCTTAAAATGGCACATGCAACATCAAATCAAAATGAAGAGGAAAGTTTTGAACTTTATACCTCCAGATGCAGCTCCTTCCTCTATAGATCTCAGATCCAAACTTGCACTTCAAGATCTAGCCTCCACAAGCTCCTCTCCTTCTTCTTCACTAACACACCAAGGCACTTTTAGCTCCAAAACACTCACTCTCAAGCTAAGGACGATGGAAGGCTCTC